GTAATGTTTTTTTGTGATTCTAGAATTGAACGTACTGCATGTAATTTTGCATTTTCTCTCTTATAGTCATTGTGTTGACTGATCTAGCTGATAACACAAGTAGAGATGCCAGATTCGACCCAAAGGAACATTAGTTCATTACAGTTTTATTCATCAAAACGGTCATCTGAGGTAACCCCTCGCTATCCACTTCTCTTGTTTTTTCTCTTACAAAGTGTTACAAACTCTAATTCTTAAAAATCTCTAAGACGTAGCAGAGTAAACATGCGTGCGCTCAGCCAATTGCTGCAGTCGTTGGCAAAAGCCTTACAAAGTCGTCTCTAGTAAATACAATTAATTTAGTTAATTTAGCAAATTCCTGTAATATTTGTATCTACCCTAAACATGCAAGTTGTTGATTCGGCATATGAACCGAATGTGCGTACGTAATGTTGCCATGGCAACAATTGTTCCAAGTAGTGTTGAAAATGCCATTGTTTACGTTGATGATTAAATGTTTTTAAATTCTACTAAAGTTTTTGTCATGGCCAAGCTCAAGTGTTATGATTAGTTTGAACTATTAACTGTGCATTTTTCCTTTCAGTGAATTGTAGTCATTTGGGGTTAATAAAACACAATACATGGTACCGAGTAGTGTGCTGGCTATGGATGCTACCATTTTAGTTTACTTATCACAGTGTTTACAAATACGTTTATGTAGATCTAGTCATGTCTGTTTACAAATGTGGTTTGAGAAGCGTTAATATATTTGTTATTAAATTTAAATATGGTGTATCAATGTTTTTGTTTTAAATACAAGATGAGATATCAATTCAATCAGGATTTTGACGTGTTTCCTCTGCCATTATATTGTTTGCAGCTGTAACGGTTTCTGTTGAAAGTTGTTCGGGTGTATTCATTGCTGATATAATTGCATTGATCACACCATCACAAAGTTTTGGGGAAAACCGACAAATTCAAAGCACATTGTCTCATATATATTATGTCTGCTGTTCAGCGGATTTGTGGGTTAAGATCTTGTTGGTTGACGAATGAATATTGTGGGTTTGTACAAATCCATGAGCTCTACCTATTTAAAAAGAATTGGTTGTAAATGTTGCCGTATTTGTGTTGATTGAACATTGATAAATTTTACGAATGTCCAACGTTGTGTCACAATTACTAATCGGCGATCAAGTGAACATGGTAGTGATTCAAATACCAGCATGAATATACATGCATCAAACACAACACAACGGAAAGAAAGCATTTCAGCTAGATGATTCTACGACTGAGTTATTGACAACATTTAGGTATATGCAAAGTATATAATCACAATACGTTTACGGATGCATGGTATTACCATAACAAATATATTTGACAATGTCATAGTAAATTGATTCGATCAATTAAAAAGTACAGTAGGATACACTGCATCTCGATTCGCTCGTGAAAATACGGCCGCAGGATACACCGCATGACTCCATATGCAAAGAAAGGCACGAGGAGGGTGTGGGGTTCTGTCATAGTACATATGTAATAATTCTAAGTATTGAACACACAAATATGAAACGAACAAAATACAAATAACTGATTTTGATAAGAACATTCAGAAGTATATTAGGATTTTTCATAACGAAATGTATGCCATATGTGCCAATAATAATGTTCTTAATTACTGATTACACGTAAATATTTTCTCCATTTTCGCATTTTATAAGTTTTTTCATTTGTGTTTACTGCGCTAACAATCAGAGCTATGAACCAGTAGCTATCCCGGGGGTCCGACTTGTGGAAATACCTGGAACCCATGTATGTGAAAGGGGTTTTCAAAAGACCCTAAACACGTTTTAAAAGTTCAACATTTCCTACCCTTTTCACTGTTAGAAAGTAAACGATCACGCACCTTGAATTCGCGCCTGATCTCGCGGTATTTGAGCTTTCTAATCCTTCAGTGTAAGCACGGGTTGGTCATATGCTGTGATTTTTGCAATCATTGAATTCCTTAAAGCAATAAAAAAACGATAATCTCATTAAAAAAATAACCACCCTTATAACGTTGGCAGTATCGGAAAAGACACCCTTTTTGCTATTTTGTCTGAAATGGTAACCCTGAACGCGTTAACGTGCTTTTCTTTAAAAAAAAACTTTTAACGCGTTTTCTTTCACATACATGCGTACCAGATCATTCTTTAAGTCGGACCCCCGGGGTAGATATCCTATCGATGTGATCTTCTCGTTGTTCATTTCGAGAGCTGTAGGAAACGGCCTTATAACGATGAATGGGCGACTATACTAAGTACTTTATAACATATTTAGTTCGGGTGACCTTGCCCTTTGTTATAATTTTATATATTATAATTTTTTCAATATGATTATGCACTGTCATAATAAATTTTGAATACAAACAAGTTTCAGGATTAAAAGGGAAGTGGAAAAGCACTCTGCCAAAGCTCCTAAAAGTAGGAATTATTTTAAGGGGTGTTTGCTTGAAAGGATAATATACTTTTCTCGTTTATCTTCGATGATAAGGGCAAGGTGCAAGGTGAAAAAAGAGACTGGGATAAAACGGCCACCAGTTCGTGTAAAATGAACTACTAGTTGTAATGGCAGGCTCCCTAAGTCAGTGAATAGTATTTGACCTCAGTAGAAAGTGGTTACTTTTAGCAGGGAACAGGGAACGTGAGCTGGGTTTAGACCGTCGTGAGACGGGTTAGTTTTACCCTACTACTACTGTGTTCAGATGAGCTTTTAGTTTCAAGGGAACTGTGTGCGTTGTAAATTTAGAAGCATCTTTTGTTGAACAGGGATATTCAAAGGCAAGTACAACTGTGATTACTCTGTCTACAGATTACTGCCTTTCTATGCTATAGAGAAACAATGCAGGATTCTAACTGTCTTCACGGCTGACCTCAATATTTGCATAGCTACAATTACTCGCGCGTATGGAAACAGGAGCCCAGGAACTATGATCAACTGAATACAGTCTCTATGAGGCTGGGAGAGGGTATCGGCAGGTATCTAGTGTAAGAAATAGACAATGGGTGAAAGGCTCCAGCGAGCTCATATTTTTTTAAACTGGAAAAACAGACGAACAGAATGAAAAATAAAATCTATAAAAAATACCAGGTTGAAGAATATTAGTTGCTCTTTCAGATTTCGCCAAAGCCTTAGCTATATTTTACTTATATCTGCCGAATAAATCAAGAAAACTACACAAATTGACTCAATTTCTGAATAATTAATGGTTGGCCCGAACGCACTTGGAGGCGTGACCTGTTCAAAATGTGTTAACAACCAATCATAAGACTCAATTAGTCATATAGACTCGATTAGCCTTGCTCAACTGGTTTGTAACCAGTTTTATGATTAGTTCTTCGCCTCCAAGTGTGCCGTGCATTCGGGCCAACAGTTAATTATAGGTAATGAATGACAAGAAGAGTGACTGAACACTGACAGCATATCTAAGACGCCATGTTTATAATCCACCCTGAGGTCAGAAAGAGGTTGCATACATTAAGTGTATAAACAAGCGGGTTATCAGTATAACATCTCCCTTCTTTTATCGAGACTAAAGTTCAATCTTCACACTAGATTTTGATGCTGCATCTGGGTGCTAAATGTCATTTCTCATATGCAAAGATCTTGAACGAATCAGATAACGAATCAAATATCGAACAGGGTCAAGTAACATGTATGTCTAAAACAATGAATAAAATATCGAACAGGGTCAAGTAACATATATGTATAAAACAACGAATTGAATGAAATATCGAACAGGGTCATGTAACATATATCAAATTTTTAATGTTATATCAGCATAATTGTCCGATCAGTACTATATTTATATAACTAATCTAATCTAGTCTTTCTTGTCTTTGTTGGTTTCTTGATGATACTTTTTTGATATCTTGACAGCTGACTCGACTTTCCCATTGCTTTGACTGTGATACGATGAGCAGGTTATATGTTCAAATTCCCATTTGCGTGCAGAGGTTTCATACTCATTGGATATGAATTGCGGTCCGTTGTCTGAAATTACATTCTCTGGAATGCCATGTCTGCCAAAGTGTGATTAAGTACAGTTAACTATAGTTGATGAAGTTGTATCTGTATCTAATTTGTCAAGTTCCCAGTAATCACTGTAGTAATCGACAGTAATTAAGTAGTCAGTTTTGTGGTATGTAAACAAATCTTGTCCAACCATTTTCCATGGTCGTGATGGAATCTCGTATGACATCAAAGGTTCTTTCTGTTTACTGAGGTATTCGTTGCAAGGACTACATTGGGTGATTTTGTCCTATATTTCTGCTGTCATTCCGGGCCAAAATAGTACGTCACATGCTCGCCGTATCAATGCTCCAGCACCTAAGTGGCTTGAATGAATTCTATTGAGCATTTGTGGTCTCATTTGTTTTGGAATTATGACTCAATTTCCTTTGTATAGGACTTTGTATATTGTGTACTGCGATTTCTTCTCTGCATGTCCAATAGTCTTTTGCACATACATGTATTGGAACATCATCTCTGTTGTCTGGCCATCCAGCTAATACTGTTGTCATTAAGGACTGTAGAGTTGTATCTGTTTATGTTAGCTTTTGAATTTGCGGATAAGTAGGATCACTAACGCATTGGTATTGAGCTTGGTTAATGGACTCTATTTCTTGAAACAACTTGTCTTCTATTTTTAGCTGAAATAACTGATACTTTGGCATGT